AGTTGATCAAAAATTGGTTAAAACATATAATTTTGACCATTTAGACTGATCAAAAAATTTCAACTACTTTATTAGAGAATCAAATTTTCAACCATTTTGATTCGTCAAAAAAATTTACGACCATTTTGATTGGTCAAAAAAATTTGACTATTTTTTTACCAAAATCTATTTGCGACCACCGATTTTTGACGAATCGATTTTGGTCAAATACTAGGAAAAAATAGTTATTTTTGACTAGTTTTAAACCAAATTGCTGGTTAAAATTGGACTATTTTTTTGTAGTGGAAATATCAAAACAAAAGAAAAATATATGGGAAATGAGGAGCCTTCTCACAGCCACCAGCAAAGACTCCGGAGCCGGAGAGGCAGAGAAGATGCAGATTGGAAGCGGCTAGGGTTTCTAAGGAGGGATTTCAGAGAGAACAATTACCTCGATGACAAACCATGGATTCTACCACTAGATTACAAGAGGGTTTTAGGAATAAAGTGGCCGAAAACATATATACTCATAACATAGTCGCAAGCCAAAACTTAGATTCATGCCCGGCACTGCTCAGGTTCATAATACTTTACAATCCCAAAGCAGTTTGAAAAACCGGATTAGATTAGTGATCAGTTCTCGTTTTTGCCGATCTAATAGGCTGGTGCAGTCCGAGTTTGAACAGAACCACACTTGTGAAGATAGTTTTTTTTTACAAATTGCGCTTATATTTCGTTTTGTTAATGAGAAATGTCACTTTTAAAGTGCCACTTTTCAAAAATGTCACATTTTTAAAATCTTTGCAAAAATACCATTTCTTAAAATTATTCATTCATTATATTATTTATGTTTAGTTAGCTATGTTTGTATTAGGGTTTAGGGTTTGTTAGAGGTCAAAATATTTTTAAATATTTAAAATTTTAAAATATAGATATTAAAAATCTATAATTAGTGGTATTTTTATAAATAGACAATCCATTGTGATTTTTTAAAGTGAAACATAAAAAATGACATGTATTTGTTAGTCTATAAAAGTAATGTAACATTAAATAATAAAGATTGACTTCGCCATTTTGATAAAGGAGTATGCTATTAGATTATGGTGCACGATGTGATAGATCATTGACGGTATGTCATAGTTGTGTTACATAAATTTTTTTTTCGCATATTATTAATTATAAATATTCAACTAGCTTAATATAATACTACTAGATTGTAATGACATGTATGTGGTAGGCGGACTAGCTACCGAATCTTGCGCTCCTTCTCCTAATTATATATCAATGATCGATTTTAATGGTTTAAGTTGACGAATCATATAAAAATTTATAATATATATTGTTTGCATTATTTTTGTTGTTTTACATGTTACAAATAACCATTTACACATAACATAATGGATATTTTTATCTGTTGGAAAAAAAAAAATTTGCAATACATGATCATTGTTCAACTTGTAACATGGTATAGCATTTCGAAAAATTCATTTTCGAATATGAGCCTTGGTATAAAAATACTAATTTATTGATCAATCTTTAGATACAAAAGTTTGTACATGACTAATTTAGAATTTAGCTCCATTATAAACTATTCTACTTTCTTTAAGG